ACGCATCTCTTGTTGTGTCTCTCTCTCTCTCTCTCTCTCTCTCTCTCTCCGGGGGGTGTGAGAAGAGTGAATAGAAGAGCTAGGGGCCGAGGTTGAAGCCAGGCGAATGGCTTGTCGCTTGGTCCGCACCCCTCCAGGTCACGCCTTGCTACGTTTTCCTTTTTTACCTGCCTTTCCTTAATTTAGTTGCTACTTTTTTCCTCCACCTTGCTCGTTTCTCTGCTGTATCGTCGCCGGTGTGTTGGTATCAAGACTGCGAGCGAGTTCTGCCGTAGCCTGGGCCCCGAGTTGGTCCGACAGTGCGTGTAATTCATAACGGGAGCACCGAGCAATAATTAGGGGACACCATGTTTGAGCGGTGCTCTCGGAGACTGGCACGATGACGTCTAGAACAGCATATTTGGGAACACAAATGAAAGAGGCTCCATCTAGTACCATTTGTTACATATGCCCCTACCACTCACTGGCTGGACGTCGCCGTTCGCTGTGCAACAACTAGTCTGATCAACCCGTCCTCGCAAGTCATCAAGATATTCCACATGTACATTGCGAAACAACCAAAGTCGTTATCCTGATTACTTTCTTTTTTGTTTTTGTTTTAGTCGAGTAGGTATAATTTACAAGCCCCTTGCGAACCAAACGTTTTTGTCTTTCCGGATTGTGCAATATGGACGAGAAAAGATCGCAGATGGTGGTGGTGTCGGAGGATCTAGCAAAAACCACGGATAACCCGGACCGTCACCTAAGCCATTTTTTCTGACGCAGATGTCGCTTTCCCCCTCCGTGGCCGAGATGCAACGACGATACCGGTGTAAAACGGGAGAAGCGGGAGAAACGAAAAGGTGAGCCGAGCTGCGGGACATGGGGGAAAATAAGGACAAAAACGAAGTCTTAAAAACGACGTCGGATGACGGTCAAGGACGAGGTAAGCGGTTGGCTCCCTCGAGCCTCTTCGCCAGATCCCTCCGCCACCCGACCATCTTTTGCAAAAGAAAAAAAGAAAAAAAGAAAAAAAGTCCCAATGCCGAAAACCCCGCTGTAACCTCAATACCCAGCCCAAGGAAAAGTAAAGCAAGCAAAGAGAACGAAACAAGTCAAACAACGCTGCAACGGAAGGCCAGCTGCAGAAGGGGAAACGAAGCCACAGCTCCACCCTTAACTGATGCCTCGCCCGGCCCAACCTCTCATGGGCTGCCCGCTTTCAGACTCGGACATATCTGGACAAACCTCCGGTTGCCCCCTCATATATGGCCAGCATCCGTCGGCAAATCGAGGCCACCAACGCACGGGCTGACTGGTCGTGACTCTTCTGAAAAGATGCATCAGTCCTCCCCGTCCCCCGATCGCCTCGAATGCCCACAGAACGCCATTTTATATCATCAGCCATAGCGTCCGAGCATAACAAAATTCCCGTCTCTCGTTGCCCTCGTGAAAAAAAAGAAAGGAAAAGGAAGAAATTCGACAAAAGGGGTGTGCCAAAAGGTGCGCAAGAATCCGCGAGGTAGGTCCGTCGAAGAAACCTGCTGCGATATGCCGAACTGCTGGCTTCAAGATCTTGGAAGACAGCTCAACAGATAGATGGCAAGGTAGCTTGGTTGTGACGGCCAGGCAGAACTTGGCGTACTGATATGGGATAACTCGAACAGCTCGGTAGTCAAAAGCCAACCCACTTGACTTTGCCTGTCTGGGTATGTGAGAAGGTGGTACAATCAAGTGCGCCGCGCTTGCCCATGAACAACATGCCACAAGCAGATGCAATTTTGGGCTTTGATTTTTTTGCTTTTTTGTCGTGCTTTTTTATTCTTCTGTGTGCGTGCGTGCTGACAATGGAGCGCCTGCCATCTCCTGAGGTCATGGCTAGATTCTCTCCTCAAGTCAAGGAGTGACTTATGTCGTACAATGGCGTACATGACTAGGCGTGCGCCTCGCCGTTGGGCAGACCGGAGAACGAATCGACAATGCTCTTGGCCTCTTGGTAGTGGGTGTCGAAGTCCTCGGGATATGCGCGCCTGCTGTTGAACAGGGCCTCGTAAAAGGTGACCAGATAGCGCAGACCTGCAACATTGGCAGGCTTCTTGGTACCATCCTCGATCGCAAGCTGGCGGAACTCATTGTAAAGCTTGGTGTTGAATGTGTTGGAGAGAAGATCAAGCCAGAACTTATAGAGGTTGTGCATGTCCTGAGGCGTCTCTCCGGGGGCGGCATCCTGACGTTGGTCCAGGGCCTTCTTGTGGAAGTCTGCATAGCTGGAGCCGTCCGACTGAGTAGGACGGTCGGCTTCGGCGGTTTCCGAGGAGCTAGCGACGAAGTCAATAACCAAAGCATGGCAGAAAAGCCAGGGTGAAACCGGATTGGTGGGCGATGGAGGCTTACCTAGTAGCGGGCGTAGAAGTACCGTTGGGTAGGTGCTCTGCTGCCGGTCCCACTTCAGAGGCAGGAGCAGTGCCGTTAGTAGCAACTAAAGGCTTGCTGCTACTATCCAGAACAACCTTCAGCTTCGGGATGTCGGCATCCTGGAAGCGCTGGAAGGTCTCGAGGCTTGGCCGCTGGTGAGAGATGGGAGAGAAGTCGGGAACATTGGCTGACAGCTGAGACTCGCCATTGTAACGAGGGCCGTTGGCATAGTCGCCACCCATAACTACACCAGGTGCAAAGTGAACCCCGTTGGCAGCGTAAATGGGATGAGCATGCTCGCCTCCGTTCTGATGGAAATCTGGGTGGAAGGTGGTGGGAGATGCCATGTACATGGGGTGGCCGTAGCCGTTGCCGTACGGCTGACGGTCCAGGTTGTGGTAGGCAACGCTGGTCGGGCCATTGTTCCTGCTCTCCTCGACGCGCTGCGGCATATCGAGGATGAAGGGCGTCATGTCGCGGCGCGAGCGGAGACGCTCGAGGCCGTCCTCGGCGACAACATAGTCGACCTCCTGGGAATGGGCGCAGGCTGCTTGAATGAACTCGTAGCGGGGTGCAAGCTGCTGGACTCTCTTGAACTGGGCAATGGTCTTGAGAAGCACATATCCCTGCGAGTCCATCCTCGCTCGCAGATAGATGTCCCGAAGCAGATTGTCGGGGCTGAAGTAATATTCAACCTGTTGCTTCAGACCCTGTAGGATATAGTCCTCACCGCCGTAGCCAGGGCCCATGTAGGCGGGCTGATAGGCCTGGACGGGGAACTCCGGGTTGGTGGACGCGGGGATGGGCAGCGACGGCATCCGGCTGGGGGCCGTCCCGCCATTCTGAAGTCGCTGGCCGCTGTGAGAGGGCCCAGTCTGCGCACGAGCCGGAGCCCTGCGGTTTCCATTGGCATGGCCCAAGAAGGGCTGGTACTGGTTTGCCGTGGGGCTGAAGGGCTGCGAGCCAATTCCGTTGCTGCCACCCATGAAACGCTGGCCGTTTCCTCCGTAGCTGGATTGTTGGTGATGGCCGCCAGCGCCGTGATTCGCGCCGCCGCGACCGCGGTACCCACCCCGGCCTCGCTCGTTCCGGGTCTCGCGAACGGGGTGGTTGTTGCCATTGTCGCTGGCAGGATCGTGCGCCCTGGGCTCTCGCCTGTCGGCAGACTGCCTCCTGCGGTCGGCGTGGGCCTGCTCTCCGTTCGGAACATCTGGCCGCGAGCCGCGGGCGGACATCTCCCCTTTCGGGGGGTAGTGGGTGGCACCGTACTCGGCCTTGGGCTTGTCGTTGGCCGACATAGCCGTGGCCTTGCGCGGCTCGCGTGTTGACGAATCAGGTCCGTTGCGTTTCGGCATTCCTGGGTTCTGTGATGTCTGGCGAGGATGGGAGACTGGAGCGGGGGCATCTCTCGGACGCTCACGAACCTCGCTTCCGGTCTTGGGAGGGAGCCCGGCCGGAGTCGTGCTATCTTTCTCCGCTGGAGAGGCGCTGGTCGGGGGAACATGGCCTCCCCTGCTGGTGCCCGTCTCGCGACCTCCCCTGCCACCGCCGCGGGTGCGCGGTTGCTTGGGATGTGTGAACTGAGTCTCGTAGGTGAATGTCGGTGTGATGGGAACAGCCACCCACTCCTTCTTCGGGCGCGGCTTCGCAGCTGCACCATCCTCGGGCCTCTCGGGCTTCTCCGACTGTTCGGGCTTCTCTGAAGCCTTCTTCTTGGCATCATCGGCGGCGGCCAGTTCTATGGACGGCCACAGCGCAGCATCCTGGACTGGAGGCAGGTTGTCCGACGCGGGTGTCCTATCATCCTTGCCTTGCATCCTGCTTCCGCGGGGTGCGTTTCTGCGGGCAATGTTCTCGTTCGCAGGGGCGACACGAGCGGAGTCCGTGGGTCTCCTGGGTGCGCGAGCGCTTGCCGCCGTTGAGGGAGCCTTGTTTCCAGACTCGGACGACTCATCCGCCGGAGAGGATGTGGGCTTCTTCGCCGCGAGCGCCTTGCCGGCCTCCGCAGGGGTCTCTGCGCCGGGCGCGCCGGGCTTTGTTGGTGCCACGGCGGCAGGCTTGCCAGTAGCCGCTGCGCGCTCTTCTTTGCGCTGGTGCCACACGTTCACGGCCGGAATCGGGGCCTCGGAGAGCTCAACCTTTGGCGGCTCAAATACCTTTAGGTTCTCCTTGGTTTTATCCTGCTCGTCGTCCTTCTCCGAGCCCTTGGACTTCTTGCCCTTGCGGTGTTTCCTCGAGTCTGGGGCGTCGCCAGCCTGGGACGCCACCGTCGAGGAGCCAGGGCCCTTGGAGGGCCCCTGCGATTGGGAGCCGGTTGCAGATGCAGCGTCGTCGCGCGAGTCCTGACCAACGGAATCAACGACGGAGCTCAGCTCAGAATCGAGATTCTTCGGGTTCGACAAGTCGGTTGATTCTTGGAGGGCCTTCGGGATGTCTTGAACGTCCGACGCGTTAGACGACGTAGCCGAAGTGGCGATCGTGTTCGTCGTGGAAACGTTGTCATCCTTACCCTGAGAGCTTGTTGAGGGAGGGGCGGAATTCTCCGGCTGTGAGGTCGCCGGAGGAACGACCTGTCCGCGGGCAGCCTGGGCGTATGAGAAGACGGGGGCAGACGCCATGGTGTCGGCGGGCACTGCAGACTTCGCTACCGTCGTGGCCATTAGAGCCGCCTTGGACCAGTTGTCGGGCGTGAGTTCGGGATTTCGCAAACCCGGCGAGATGACCACTTGTGGCTCGGCGCAAGTGGATACAGAGAGGCGCCTCCCCAGTCAGTCTGGATCCGGAGAGGCAGGAAGGCGTGTCCCCTACGCAATCAAGACAGCGGTGATGCCTGATCCCGCAGGGCGAGGAGTTGCGCGTGGCAGGGTATCGGTACCGCGCTGGGGCGACGTGTAGTGAGACGTTGCGTGGAGGAGTTTCAAAGAGTGGTTCGCGACAGGATGGGCCGAGCGATCCTGGTCGATGACGGCAGGCACGGAATTCCCGAGGGGTCAAGTAAGTTCTCCGTCTTTCGGGAGAGATTTAGATGGACAGTCTCGTATGCGATATGCCGCGCGATAGCCCTAAGAGCGGAGAGGCGAGGACAGAAACCGCTGGTAGGCGCGAGACGTGGGGAGCCCTCTGCGCCTAGCGGACGAGTTCGTAGCCCCGCAGGAAGGGAAGCTGAGCGCGGAGGGGGCGAAGAACGACAGCGACGATGAAGAGGAAATGAGGCCGCAGGGCCGGCAATAGATCGCACTGGGCACCAGGTGTCCTCCGACGTGGGAGGGCGTATGCGAGCGTGCGCGGGCAGGCTCTGCAGTCGGCGAGGGACAGTGAGCGTGCTGCGTCGAGGGGCGTCACAGGGCGGAGCCTAGGTCGGTCCCACGGCGAGGGAGACAAGGAAATCAAATGGCGAGCCTTTTTACTGACAGGCCATAAGTAAGGAATCTCTCTGCCAGAGAAAACAATCAAAAGAAAAAAAGTGCAGTGCAGGTCGTAAGGAAGAAGCACACACGAGCTGGTTGGTGCACTCCCACAAAAGAAAGGGCGAGGGTTTGTGCGGGCAGTAAATTTTTTTTTTTCCTTGTCGGAGTTTTAGCGTACCTTGAATGGGGCCCAGCGTGGGAAAAATGGGCGGGCCACTGTAGTGGATGATGGCGGGTGGTGCAGTGGGTTGATTGTCACAGCTCTCGGCTGCAGTGGGGAGGTGCGCGAATATAAGTCGGTTATTTGCCCGACCAGGAAGAAATCTATGTGAATTTGAAGTGGATGCTCACACGGAACCCCTCGGGAGGGTAAGAACAGGACAGCAAAAACAAAGACGGCCACCTTGCGGAGGTAACAGGAGGCTTGCAAACGGAGATCGATGCCTGGCACGCAACAGTTAAAGTTACGAAGGTACCAAGTATCGGCTAATAAAGATGGCCGGGCAGGCTTTCCCAGGCGGCGGTAACTTCAAGCCTCGTTCTCCGCTAGGTAGGGTTTCTTTGCACGCGCTAGGTGGGGTTCTGTAACGGGCAGGTAGGTTTGACTGCCCTGATGACGCCGAGGACGAGAAAAAAAGAAAAGAAAACAATGGCAGAGGGGTCCGAATCCAATAGCCCCAGTCTAAGTCGGACCTTGAGAATGAAGGTAAGAAATAACGTAGTGCAGACAAAAAGTAAAAAGAAGAGGGGGAAAAAAAAGTCGATGTCTCATCGAGGACACATTGAAAGGTGCCGCAACCGTCACCTCTGTGCTTACGCGGTACGCCGAGTGACCTGGGCTCTAGAGCGCGATGTCACAGAACCGAGCTTCGCTACCTATACTTGATTACTCCCTGCCTTGCTCCACTTGGGTCCTTCCTCCATCTGTCGGTTTGTGGCTCTCCATGTTGAGTCGGACGCTGGTGTTGACACCGGACACTAACCACATGTCTATAAATTCGAGTTGAGTTGAAAGGACCGGTGCGAAGAACAGAGGGTGAAAGAGAATCTGAGCAGCAGATGACAAACAGCAACATGGAGGACCAAACATGGTCGCCAACGCAGCCGAAGAGCAAGCACTCAATGCACCCTGCACTGCATTCTGCACATAAAATGGGGCATGCCATCATCCATGGGGCAGGACAGCGTCAGTCGCGGCTCCAGGCAGCTGCACCAAGCTCCATTGTAGAGGGGTCAATTCTACCCGTTTGGTATGCATTGCTTTGTCTGTCGACCCATCAAACCATTCAATTCGTTATTTCCAAAAAAAAAAAAAAAAAATCCTGTCCCCTCGTTTTCTACCCCTCCTTCCGGCTCACCCGCCGGATGTATTTTTACTGCGCCCAAGTCTAGGCTACATCCCGAGATGCCTACCACCTACCTTCGGTACCTCCGGGCTGTGTGGCTGTCCACTCGCCAGCTTGCGGATTTATTAACTGGCTGGGGAGATGTGGTATCTGCCTGGCTGGGAGGCCGCTGACCCGTCATGCCATTGCCACACTGGAACGCTTTTCCGTGTTACACTTTGTGTGCGTTGGTATCCCAGGCGCCAGCGACGAGGCTCTGTGGAAAGGCCCCAAGCCAGACGAAGCGAGGCAGTGCGCGCGAGGGGTGGTGTTTAGGTAATGTTTTGAAGGGATCAGACCGACTCTCAGCTGCCTGTCCGGCTGTTGACAGGGCGGAAGCTGCCGCCAGCCCGATTATAATTGGTGCTGACTAGCGTCCGCATCCATCCATAGCAAGGCGGCGGGCCTGCTCACGCCTTGGGCCAGGGCCTGCTGGCATGGAGTAATCCCAAAAGTCCAAGGCCCCCAAGCGCGCCGAGCCATTCACGAGCATGGAAACAGAAGCTCCGAGGTACCATCTGCGAGGGAAACAATGGATAAAAACCCACCCAGTAACAAGGGGGTAACAGGGGGGTTGAAACTGGAGATCGCAGGGGTTTTGGTATGTTACGAGACTTCGATAATTTTTCACCAACTTCAATAATGGCAGTGGCTTCATGCCCCCTTTCGCTACCCTTGTGATCTCCAGTTTTAACCCCCCTGTTACTGGGGGGTTTTTATCCTTTCTTTCCCTCGCAGACGGTAGGCTTCGGCAAGGATGCTACCCAAATCGGCTAGCTGTCGCCATACATTGAAGTTCAAATGTTTGGGCCATCCAAACTTAGGTTGTTCCATTCCAGCCCTTTCCGCGAAAGCAAACATGTTTGGGGAATAAACACCTGTAGAAGGGGGAGGAAGAAACCCCGACGGTGACCCCTCCCCCCACCTCCCACCAAATGCTTTCTCTCGCCTGTCTGCTCATTCCGCTCCGCAAACACGATGCGTACGTAATGCCGGGCCGGCGCTGGTGGATCGATCCCACAAAATCCCTTCTGTCTGACGGGGAGCGGCACATGTTATGTATGTGTCAACCCAGCACGTCCATCTGGGCCTTGGAACCCCAGATGCGACTAAATCCCTTCAAAGGACACGGTTACTGTGTCCCAAGGTAGGTGCGGACGGGCGCTCAGCGGTTGTATTTCGCATGTGTCGAACTCGCAGGTGGAGCGGCACGCAGCTGAGTGGCTCCGGTGAAATTTGTTGCGATGATACAGGGCCGGCAAATGACAACGAGATAAAAATAAAACATGATGCGGTGCCAGACGCACAAACGTCTTCCGGCCCGGCCCATTCCAACCGAGCAGGCTGATGGATATCCGGCAAGGAGGAACGCTTACGTGTCCGGCGAGCACCGAACCACCCCCCGGCTTCGAGGTATGATCCGTCTCTTTACCTAGTAGCTACCTGCCGATAGGACCTACAAATATTTATATTGAGACGGAGACGGGAGTTGGGGAATTTATTCCACCAACTCAATCTATTATTTTTCCGGTGAATGAAGGTAGTAGCTGGCCACATGCAGTTTCTGAGTTGTCAATATACAACATGCCTTGTTGCTCCAAGCCACTTGCGCACCCGCCATCCGGGGTACCATCAAGAGTGCTTATTCTCTTGTGCTCCTCGAGGCGATATCTAGGTTCTGGCTTTGCAGGCCAAGCATCGTGACATGTCCTCGCGCACAGCTCAGGCCATTCAGTTGTTACGTTTCGATTCCTACACCAACCATCGACCAACCTACCGACTGGACAAAAGCATCCTGACGGAATGTACATTCGAAGAATACCCATATCCAGCAGCTTCCTACCCAAGCCCGGCTGAGAGTCACTCGGCGGAATCATGTACTTGTACAGTTTTCGCCAAAATACTAGACAGCGAACAACATAGTAGAGCCCACATATGAAATAGCCACTCCGCACAACGTGCAGCTAGCCCGTCATCCAAGCTGCCGCCCTCTGGGCACCAAATGAAGACATCATACGTAGGCCGCTCGAACCCATGGGGAAGTAACTGACCAGATACCACACAAGACACACGAGCTGGATGATGGCTGCAAAGAGGGTGAGGATCTGACTGCGCAGCTATACGAGAGCCATAGTGGTCAGCACCTTGGCCTGTAGGAAGAAGATACGCGAGGTGGTGACGGCACAGCTTACCCCGATGGCGAAGTAGAGGCTCAGAGCCATGGAACCAAAGTAGGTCGCAGTAAAAGGGAGTCGTGGGCCGGAAGCAAGGTGCTGGATATAGGTCAAAGGACCCATCATAGCCGCAAAGGAGCAGAGGAAGAATATGGATCCTAGTGTCCACCTGTTCAGTATACAAGTTAGTAAGTATGACTCGTGGGTGTGCGAGACATATCACATGAGATAGGGTCGTATTGAGGTGAAAGACAGGCAACGACGAGATCCTCGCGGCCACTGCCGTGAATCTGCGCTTGCGCCGGCATCCGGCAGACAGCCTAACGCCAAGAGACGGCGGCGGCATTATAGCGGCGGCGGCCCTTGCATTGCAACAGGCAGAGTCCGAGTGACTTGGCGCAGGGGAAGAAGCAAAAGGACGATGACCACTATAGGAGGCCGATCTTTGCTCCCATGCAGGGCGGGTAGTTGCATGATGCCCATGGGGGTGGAGAGGTAGTGGCAGGTTGGTGCAAGGGGTGGGTCATGGGAGCTCCCGTGGTGGCGGTGCCAATAGGGAGGGCTGTATGGGGGCAGACAAGGTGACTAGAAGGAGGAATGTACTGACAAGAGGACAAACTTGCTCGGCCGTGTGGCGATAAGGGGCCAGAAAAAGATGCAGACGAAGAAGCACACCAGGGCGCCGATATTGCAGCCTGCGAAGATCAAAAGCCGGTCCCACCTACTCACTGTCCGGGCGAGAAATCGTATTCAGTCAGCAAAAGATTTGGCTAGCATATCAGCATATCGCAACTATTGCTAGTGCTCGAGGTGCAGGGGTAGACAAATCGGAAAGAACAATATCATGAAGCAAGAGCAAGGATGAGCGGTTGGCTTTGCTCATGTGGAAACAGAACATCGTGCTCGGCTGAGGCCTATGTCATAGGGCATGGTCTGCTGCAGGGGAAGTGAGACGGAGGGGGGGATAAGTCAAAGAAGGGCGGGCGGCCTCTATCGCCAGTTGACTCACGCGCGAACCAGCCCTCCTCCTCTTCCCGCCTAGTTGGTGCAGGCAACGGAGCTCCGGCGCCCTCTGTCGTTGGGAGACGCACATGGCCACGGTCGCCGAACGGGTTGAGCGACTGAAGCGACGACAGCAGGCCGCTCTGCTGCGAAGTGTGGACAGGTAGGTCTGGTTCGCGGCGCGACCAACCGAGAGAGCCGAGCGAGTCCCGGAAAGACTGGGATGCCATGCTGACGGTATCTCCTCGTTCGTCCACAGGCTCGCCCTTAGTTGCCTTCGCTTTGGATGTGTCGAGTGGGTTGACAGATGCGCGGCGGGGAGAGGCGGTCGCAAGCGCGAGATGGATGGGGAGTCGGATAGTCGTTCACGGTCGCCGCAATGTCGTCAGAGGCTGTTCAGGGGTGCCCTGGTGATTAATTCTGTCCCAGGTGTAAGGGGGGTCTCGGGAGTCGAGGTACGTGTGTGTGCGGAGTCGACGTCTGCGGGTTTCGGTCGTTGGGATCGATACGGGTTTCTCAGAGCGGTGGGCGGATGTCGAAACTGGATACCGCTACGCGGGTTTCTCTACTACGAGAAGCTCGAGGAGAGACAGGAGGCAGAATGTAGGAGGCTAGGTGCCCTCACGGGTTGCAGGTCGGCTGCCCAAGGCTACCAGGATCCGGGCAAAGCCGCCAGGCTGCGAGGGTTGGGGGTACGCCAGGAGGATTTGTCCCGAGGTGTGCTATTCAGAGTGCTCTGCATCCAACGGCACACACCTGGGTGTGGAAGAGGATAATCCTAGCACCGGGCGTGCTGTCGGCAGGCAAGAGCAGCTTGATTTGACAGCTTGATAGAGTGATGGTTGGGAGGCTTGCGATGGATGGTGGTGTCGTAAGGAGGCCGTGTCGAAAGGTCACGCCCAAGACGCGGTTCCAGGAGGTGTGGACACGGGCGCACCTGGGCGAGGAGGCTAACGCGATTGGCTTACGCCACTACCCCACACAACCATCTGCACACCTGCCTCATTGGCTGGTGGGGTAGCAGCGAAGACCCACCTCACGCCCCAGCTCTGAGCTTGGGCTGCGCGTCAGAATATCGTCAACCTTTCCTCCTTGGACTTTTTGGCGCGCAAGCGCACCCCGCCGCCATGAGGCCCCCATCTAGCGCACACACACACACAATCACATCACAGCCCAACCCAGATCCAGGTGCATGTTCATGTACAAACTCATGCATCAAGCACGCAACACTCCAACAGGCTTTGGGATCGTCAGCTTGCAGGGCAACCTTCAAGTGCCCTCTCCCTCTTTGTTGACTGCCGTCGGCCAAACGTGGCTCGGGCCTACCCCCTCGCTTTATTGAGGCGCCTGCAGCAATCCCCATGGCGTCTTCGGTGTAACGTCTGGCAAGACAGTCTGGGGAGCAGATACCTTACCTACAGATGTAAATAGCCCCAGTTTGGTGGGGGTCGATCGCCGGGTGCATAAGTCCGTGGTGGGGAGGCAGTCCCGTGTCCCTCCCCGAGAACACATGGAATTTTAGTATGGCATGATGGCGATTCCCAAACCCCTCTACTTTCAACGCCACCGCATACTCCACCTACCCAGACAGCATTTTGGCTAGAGGCAACCCAGCAGCGGATTCCTAAGCAAAGCCCAAGCCTGGCGGACTATCTTTACAGGGTGAGACAACCTCTGAAGAAAACAGCGGGTCATCAAAGGACGGTATGACTCCATGACCAATAGCCCAATGACGCTCAGTCACTGCCAGCATTCTCACCGAGATGAGAGTTTGTGTGGCTTGCCTCACCGGAGCCTAGCGGAGGGAGCTTCACTACCGGCTTGCTTGGAGGATCCAAACAAACCTAACCCCTCCTGGATAGCATCAAAAGCGCACCGAGAGTCGTGCGCCACAGAAGGCGCTAACCGCGCATCACCTATACCACGGAGCTCGCTACCACCTGGATTAAAACCAAGGACGGCAGGAGGGCTGGTGCTGTGGAGATGGGTCGTCGCCAGGCCAGTTTGGTGCGCCCCGAGTGTCTTACTTGGCTGACCAGACCGTGTCACGTTGGACGCGTGGTGACCCCTCCTGAGCTATTCCATGCCCCCCCTCATCACGACTAGGGTGCGCCCTCTCCACTCCGTCGCCTTTGGGCCATCACCAGCGTTTGAAGGAAAAATACCAGCGGCATCCGTGGAATCCGAGCGACCGGGCAGGTGATGAGGCACGTTATGCACTCTAGTGCCCATGCACCGGGAGGTACGTACTTTGACTGGGTAGGTGCCCGCGTAGATATGAGGCGCACCCTCCCACCCTCCACTCCAAGATATCCAACTTGGAGAGAATATCACCCACCTCCGCCCAGGCACAGCTCCGTTCGCAGCAAGTCAGGAGGCGTGGATGGCCGGGTGTAGGAGTGGGTACGTGCCTTGCACAGGCAAATACATTATTTTTAGTCTAGATACCGGCCATGTATATAAGCCGGCACCCTCGGGAGACAGCTTGTCTAAAGTATCCAGCAACTTTCCACCAACCCAAGTAAAACCCCCGTCTGGATTGTTCCCTTGCTGCCGTTTCCAACCAAGGCTTCCTGCCTCGATATACTTGATAATAGCCACGGCCTAGCCTGCCGCCCGCACCGAAAGCCAACAAGCACGACGAGAAACGAAGGGAGACGTCGGCTGGATTTGCTCGGGAAGGGGTTGGACAAAGCCGCACTGCAGCACTCGCTCCCCGTACGTGATGACACAGGTACAGAGCACCAGTGGCATGCTGGACTAACCTGCGCCGCAGACCTGATCGTCGCCACCAGATCGAGCGGCGTGCCGCCGCGGTGGCCGGTGATATTCGTCCCAAGCCGCGCAAGCCGACTGTGGAGGCAGCGCGGAAACTGGGGTTTGAGGCAAAGTACGTCTAGCGGAAGAGCGGGTCCTCCCCGACAAACCCCCCTGCCCTGGGCCTTGGATGGCGGGGGATTTGCGATGCATGAGCCCGGCTGTGGAGGGGCTGCAGCATCCCTGATGCAACGGGCGGGCGCAAATCTCCATGATAACACGGCCTCGGCTGAATGCTCACCTAACCTCGACCGACAGCCCTCGATCTTCAGGCCCTCTCTGCTCGCCTGTCTAGTGCAGTCGCAAAGACAAACAGCTCCCACAACGCCACCGAGCCGACGCCACTTGACAAGTAGGTGGCTGGTTGCGTTTCGAGACCAAAGAAGAAGGAATGGGAATTGGAGGAAACGCGAAAGGAACAAAAGAAAAAGGTTGGCAAACCCCAGTGCCGTTTCTGCCCATACCTCACACCTCCACTAGACCCTCCCCATCACACACAGCCCAAGCGGGGGCTACGCTGCTCGACCGGGCGCCGGTAGCAACCGGTCTCCTCCTGTGGCGTTGGTAGTTGGGCTTTGGTCCTCCCAGCGGCTTGCGCCGGGGAGGACGTGCACTGGTTATCTGGGATCCAATGGCCGGTTGTTGGGTTGGTGCATGCAGACTGACGGTGGATGCGTCGGGATGTGCAGACTCGATCAATCTTCCTGATTTCGTCACCTCGCCGCTGCTGTGCTCAGCCTCAGCCAGCCGGGCCAACCAACCCACCCCGCCCACGACCCGCCAAGAAAGCTGTCGGCCGTGTCCACCACAGCGTAAGCGCAAGCCAAGTCCGCGCTGAACCCGACTGGGCTGTTTCGATCAATGAAGGACGACACCCCGAGCCCCAGCATTCGGATTTCCTGGTGTGCTAATCATCCACACACAGCACCCGCTGCCTTTAGCTTGGACCTGTAAGCGGCCGCCCTTGGACTCCGGTTGAGCGGAACCTTTGACCGCCCTCGTTCCTGGCTCTCCACAATCCCAAACTCGCACACAAAAGCACCGCCTCGGCGTCAAAAGTCAGCTCCACATTTGCCCGTCGCCAAAACCCACCATCGACACGGTGTCGCATCTGCTACAATATACTGTGCCACTCACAGCGTCTCCAGCGCTGGTCTCAAGTGTCTCATTGGAAGCGTCGAAGCTGGCGCGCCGCCCATCCCTTACCAAAACCAGCCAACCATCCGTCCTGCCGGGTCTTCTCCGACTGTACCTCGCTCCCTGGCCTTCCACATAGTGCCACCCAAAGGACCGACCTGCCCGCCTAGGTACCAAAGCAGCATCGCGCCCGAGCCGACTGAAATCCATCTTCCCAAGACGTACACCGCCACATTAGCTTACTTGCTCTTTATAGCTGCTCCTTAGGCTGACTTTGTCGAGGTGAGCAACAAACATACCTGATCCGAGCGAGGACCACAACTTCCTTTGACTCTTTCTCATCCCCCCTACCTCCATTCTTCCCTCTCCCACCCCTGTCTCTGCAGGCTCCAACCCACCTACAAAGTCCGCTTGCCTTTCTGCCTGCCGACTCGCTGTCAGCTGCAAACTAAACCGCGCACTTTCGCACAGCAGCCGCATGCGAGCCAGTCCTCGACTCGTCCGTCCTTCACCTGCCCGCCACAGTTTGCTTCCATTCGCGAACCCCTCGATCAAATCCGGCGTACCACATCGGAGGCTCCCTGGACCACAAGCGCCATCGTTACAATATTGATCCGATCCAGGTCGCTGTCCTTATCTGCGCTTTTGTGCACGATTTCCCGACTCTGATACCGCTCTTTGCAGGAGCGCCCACGTTTGATTCGTTGCGATCCACCCCCGCCATTTCACAGCGACCCGGACGACAACTCTCTTGTCGCCCAAACTCGAGCGAGCTTCGATTGACGGAACGAACAACGCCCGCAGCCGTTTCCGGAAAAAAAAAGACGTTCGCCTCGTGTCGTTATTAAAACCCGTTTGTTGGGGCCACCACGCAGCCGCCTGGCGCAAAGGAGCCAACGCCAACCAACCGGTGGGCTGGCTAGCCCCACCAACAGGCCTCCCTACCGTCGCTCCAGACCGCGGCATCGCTTGCGCATCGGCCCTTGCGGGCAGTTACTTGCGGGACCGGACCTGACACTGGGGACCTGATCCGCGCAGTGTAGTGAAACCAACAGCCATCTTATACCTTTCTCTTCTTTGGGCCGCTCGCATCTCACCGTTATCAGTGCCGACAACATGGCCCAGCACGGCTTCAACCAGATCGCGGGCGGGCACGGCGGAGGTGGGAGCATCGACCCTAACGACCTCAACATGCCTGGAACTTTCGGCTCTTCATCCTACCAGAACAACTTCAACAACTCAAGCAATCAGTCCAACAGCTACTCGACAGGCTCCGCGCTCTTTGGGGACGACGAGCTACTCGACGGCCTAGGGAGCCCCACCGACGGACAGTCGGGAATCCATGGCGGCGGCCAGGAGTTTGGCGCCATGAACGAGATGACCATGGGCGGTTACACAAACTCGATATACACCACCCATCACAGCCTTCCCATGGACCAAAATCGCATCAATGGGTACTCGAACACTCCAGAGGGAGATCCCATCCAGAGCCCCTTTGCCCACAACTTCGGCCAGTACCGGCAAATGCATCACCCCCAGTCGTTTGGCAACTCGCTCCAGTCGCCCATCTCGTATGCCGGCTCGCCGCTGACCGGCTCTGACCTCAACCAGGATGGTGGCGACCCCAACTATCTGAATGCCAAGGTCAGGCCTCGCATGCCCACCGCCATGGCCCGCAAGACCTCCACCGCGCGGAACCCCTTGACCCCCAAGGCTTCTGCCACCATGGCCAACCTCACCATCGGCTCAGCCGACTCGTTCAACGCCCAGCCCATCCCCAACGGTGCCCCCCACCACGACAAGTCACACTCTGGGCAATGGATCCAGACCCCCAACAGCCTGGGCTCATACCCGGGATCTGGCTTCTCGTCTCCTATACAGCCCGGACTGCACAGCGCTCAGATCAACGACATCCTGCTCAAGGGTGGTACGTCCATGCCGGCCAAGCTGGGTGCCCCCCTGACCTCATCCCAAGAGGCCAAGCGGAAGCGGAGGCGGGAGTCGCACAATCTGGTAGAGCGCCGCCGCAGAGACAATATAAACGAGCGAATCCAGGATCTGAGCAAGTTGGTGCCGTCGCACCGGCTCGAAGACGAGAAGATCAAGAAGCTTATCCAGAATGGCACACCTCTCTCCCCTTCGTTGGGCGGCATCTCAAGCCCATCACAGGCGACGTCAGGATTGGCTGGGCCCGGGGCCAGGCGGGCGGCGAGCGGCAACGCAGGCAACATCACGACGGGCCTTCCGATTGACGACAAGGACAAGGGACCCAACAAGGGCGACATCCTCAACGGGGCCGTCAGCTGGACGCGCGACCTCATGTGGATGCTGCATCTCAAGCTGCAACAACAGGAGGAACTGGCCAACTACATAATGGAGCTCGGTGGGCAGTTCCCGTTTGAGCCCACAGACGACGAGAGGCGCATGCAGACGGAGCTTGTCGAGGCCATGGCCAGGAACGAGACGGCTGAGGATGTCAAGCTCTTTGTGTACTCGCGCCGGGCAGGCTCTGGCCTGAGGGTTCCACACCACACGGACTACAGGGGCGATCCTCTGGATGGCTCAGGGCGGGCCATTGGCGATGCCTCGGCGAGCCCTGCCAAGGCTGGCCATGGTACCGACCTTGCTGATCCAAACCAGTTCTGGAACGACGACGATGACGGCAGTGGCGAGCTGGACTTTAAAGAAGAGGACGAGTACATGGACCTGAACTAAGTGCTCAAGGGACCTAGTTGCCTTGGTGCATGTGCAGCCATCTCGTTTCCGGGCTTTTTACATCTCCCCTACTGCCATCATCATTCATTTTCACACGACATCACGTTTCCTCCTGCCCCCATCCTCCTCCTTACCCCCTTGCTGGCTCGGGTCTGCTAGACTACGACCTACCATCATCATCATCATCATCCGCACCCCCTTTTTCTTATGCTAATTCATGTTGCCAAATGAGTTTCATCGTGGTCATGGTATACAGTGGCGGCTATGGGCGGCTTTGGTTGGCGTTAACGCTTTTTGTTTCCTATGGATGATATCTGTCTGGCGATTCCTCTCGTAGAGGGCGCTTTTCACAACCCCTGTTGTTTTGTGTCTGGTTTCGGCCTCCGTGTCCTCATTCCCCCGCCTACCTCTCGTTCTATTCCTTTATCGGTCATACCACCTCCGGCTTTTCTCTTTCCTCATTTCGTCAACCTCACAGGCGGTACTTCCCATCTTCCTCATATCTTCCCGTCATCTAGCCGACGAGCCTGGAGTTTTGCACGCTACCGTTATATCATATCCATCGCATATCTGATTGTAGTTCCCCCCCTTTTTTTTTCTCTTCCTCTTCCGGTTTGTCCTTTGGCTCTCCGCATGTCTACATCTCCTGCCTGTCTCATTTTTTCTTATCAACACATGGCTAAGCCGTTGCATTCTCAATAGGTAGTTCGGGAGCAAGCCGGTCATGGCGGCGTACACTTTTGGGAATGTTTCCCCTTTGACAGGGTGAGACCGGGCGCTCTTGATCCATGCATGGGAGAAACGGATTCGCTTTTGCTCTCCTTTTAAATATGATTTAGGTTTTCCTCTGCATCTTGGTGCCTCGGCACTCAGTTTATCCTCATTTGCCTTCCTCCCCTACAATCCGTCCTTCTCGCCCTGTTTACAGGAGTTTGAAACATCTGATTTGTTGTATCGTCACCCGTATTCTACTTGGTCTTGTTGCCAGCCCGTGCGGCGGCGATGAGCTTTGGGAATTGAGCGTCGACGACTCGAGACTATTGCGCTCTTTCACACCGCCCTGCTCGATAAATATACCCCAGTGCGCAGCCGGCAGTGGCTACCAGTGCCTTATGCAGAGGAGATACTCGCTCATGGCCGTCAAAAGTGCCCAGACGTCGCGTCGTTTCATGTCTTCCTGGAGCGCAATCCTCTCGAGGGCGCAGTGGCCGTTGAAGTATTTCCAGAACACGGACCACGTGTTTGCAACTCTCTCGTCCCACTCTGCCGTCGACGTGATGCCGTCGCCGCCACCGCCGCCGCCACCGCCGCCGCCGCCGCTCTTGGTGGTGCCGATGCCGGCCGTAGCGTGGTGGCCGAGGCTGGCGGCGCCTATGGAGAATGGGGGCGGGACTAGACCGCCGGGGGCCAAGGTAGGATCGGCGACCGAAGCGGTGGTGCCGCCGCCGGGGGGGAGGGCGCTACGCCGGCGCAGGCGACGGCCGATGGCGCTCAGGTAGAGGCTTTCGGTGCCTGTGACGGTGCTGGGGTCGAGGATGATATGGGGCGAGAGGTGGATGAGGTGCGGGGCGTTGTTGACGCTGGGATGGGCTGTATGGGCTGGCTGTGGCTTCCGGGCGTGCGCGCTCGCCTTTTCTGCCAGCTCTCGTGCCGCCTTATCTGCTAGGCGGCCGAGCCGGGCCTTCTCGGCTGCCTGTTGGGCTGCTGTCGGCTGCGGACGCACATGCTGTGGCGCCTGTGTTCCGGTCGGCGATCTCATCGAGGGAGACGAGGATGCCGGCCGCGACAGCTCTGAGGGAGATGCGGTGCCGGACCGCAAGATGGCGTCGCCGTCATCCGACGCACCGTCAGGCCCATCGGTAGCGGTGGAGACAGAGGCGGACCGTGGCTGTGGCGACAGCAGCTGCAGCTGGGTGCTCCCGCTACTCTTGCGCTCTTCCGAGACAGAGGTAGGGGTGAGCGCTGCGGACCCCCCGCTGCCAGCAGTGGCAGTGGCAGAATCAGTGGCAGTGGCAGCAGGCTCGGCACTGGCGGCGGCTTGCGCGGCTTTGGCCTTGGCGAGCTCCTCGGCCTCAAGAGCATGTTCGACTTCGTAGATGATCTCGGGCCAGACTACAATGTAAGCAAAAGTACATAGCTGGGTGACCCAGCCACCACGCATGAGCCATGTGAGAATGCGCATGTACTCGGCTCGGATGGTTTTGTTGGGGCAGAAGAATTTGTAGGGGCGAGGGGCGGCCGAGAGGTCGGCGAGGATGTTTGGCAGCGGCGGGCAGTGAGGGAAGGCACGGGCAAACTTCACGCTCGCCTGGGGCAGCTTGTTTAGATCGCAGTTTGGCGATAGCATGTAGATGTCGCGTGCATGCAGCGGCGGGATGGCGACGGCGCGCCTCCAGAAGATGAAGTGGTGCGCGAACTGGTGTATCTGGCTCAAGCTGAGGAGATTGGACTGGCTGGCGACCTGGTGGAATCTATGCCCGTATACCTCATGGTCAGGTCTGATGCCCTCTGTCTGCATTGGCTGTCGGAACTCCGAGATTTGTGTTGGCAGGGAGAAAGAGGGGGAGACTCACGACAGCGTTGGCTTGGAGTGTCTTATAAACTCAATCATGGCCACAGTGGACTCGTCTGGGTCCGACTGCAGCTCCGTGATAATCTTCTTGTCCTCGTCGAGCAGCAGTAGGCCAAAGTTCTTGTCCAGGAAGCCTAGCTCGGCCGGGTCCCGGCCGTTGGCAGCAAACGAGTTGGCTGTGGTGAGCCATATCCCCGGCGCATCGCGCTCGCACTCCTGGGGGAGGTCCGAGATGTACAACGGAATGGGGATCTGCACCGAGTGGGTGACGGCACCGTCCTGAGTGTCCAGCTGCAGGACGGCAATCCTGTTTTGACTGATGGTCTCGTAGACGTCTTGCATCGACTGGGCGAGCGACGAGGCGGCCAGGATCTCGTGCCACAAGACCGTCATCCTGGTACCTGCGCCCATGCACGCGTCAGTTACCCATATCGTGCCCCTTGGATCGCCCTCGGGGCGCACCACTTACGGTCTTCGCGGGCCTTGTCCTTGAGAGCCAGGATTTTCTTAGATTCCTTCCACACAAAGTCGTTCCGCTCCTGGCAGTACTTGTAGGACTTGTTCACTTGGCGAATGATGTGGGTGTACATGCTGTTGACGAGCTCCTTGACCTCGTGCTTTTTGGGGTTGAGGAAGAATACCAGGTTGAGCATGGTCATGGAGCTGACCTTGTCATTCTTATCCTTTTCCTTGTCCCCGCCCTTCTCATCTTCCTCGTCCTCCCTAGCCTCGTGCCCAGGGCCGTCTAGATCGTCTTGAAGACTCGACCCGTTTCCAGCCATGAGCAACGGACCGGAAGCATCGGACCTGGCCGTAACCGCCGGCGGCCTGACAGAGTCTTTGTGGGCAGCGTCCGAGTCGTGCTGGGCGTCTGGGTCTCTTATGGTGGAGAAGAGACTGCCAGATGAAAAGACACTGGCCTTCTTCTTGAGATCGTTCTTCTTTTTCTTCTTCTTGCGCTTCTTCCAGCTGCCACTCTCGGGCACGTGGATTGGATATGAAACGCAGTAAATAGGGTCTAGGGAGAGCTGGAACAGCGTCTTGTGGTAGGCGCGGCCCGGGGTCAGGATGCTTTCCAGGTCCTTGGTCGGGAAGCCGGCGACATGCTCCCAGGGCACGATCTGGGTGCCGCTCTCAGTTACTAGATGGTCGTCCTGGTTGCGTTTCAGCAGGACGGCAGGAGAAGTGCCATCGGCGTCGAGCCTGGGAGCGAGGCGCTGCTCCCTGTCGGCGAAATCACCGCCCTCATCGTATTCATAGTCCTTGGCATGGCCGTGGCCGGGGCCGTGACCATGGCCGTGTTCCCTTTCGTCGTCATCCAGGTCGCCCGAAGCAGGCGGGTCAGGCGCCACGTTCACATGCGGGGGGTAGTGGAAGACGAAGCTTGGGCCATCCCTAGAGCGATTGATAACGAGAGCAACGCCAAGGAAGTTGGATGGGTTGGGGAGGATTGGCAGTGCCATAATGGGTGGGTGGCATCTGGCAATGGCCAGCCAGGAGGAGGCTGTGGACGGGCGAAGGCCCGGGACCAGGGGGAGGAGTTGCTGGCTGTCCCAGCTAATCCAGGGGCCGGCTTAGACGCTTTTGTTGCGATATAAGCACCTAATGCTGTTCACCGACAGTTTGGACTGCCGCAGCAGACAGTTGTGTATATCTCAACAGGCGGGCGACGGGTTGCTTGGTCTGAAGCCAGACAGGGGTCTGCCAGGCACTGCGGGTAGTGGGCATGGCGGCATTGCATGGCTGGCGCTGGCCGGTCAGGGTTGCGGGTCTAGATCAACAGAATGGACCCGCTGGAGCACACCGCCAATGGCTCGGGTCTGTGCACGGACCGTGGCGGAATTCGGCTAGGCTGCGTCATTGCTGGTGGGGCAGTTGTTGAGCTCAAACTGCCTACAGAAAATAAAAATGGCAACAACGCTGCTTCAAAGGAAACTCGTTACTGGGATAGACGTACTGAACTGTCGCGACTTGGGTATAGCAGAAGCTTGGCCTCTGACCAAGCAAACGGGCAGCTTTCAATTGGATGACTGAGGCAAGGAGGGCACGTGGGACGACCGTTGAGCTCGAGACGGCGCCATCTTCTCGTCGGAGAAAGGAAATGTGCCTCGTGATCAAGCCCACCACCGCCGTTTTAACCGCACCCCTATTTCCGTCCTTGGGCTCAGACGGGTTCGACCATTGACGCTATGCTGCCGCTCTAGTGCCCATGGTGCATGAGGCCGTGGCCCTGGCGCAGGCTCTCCGTTGGCTTTGCAGCTTTGCTTGCACCTTTGCTCGCGTCCGGTCGTGCTTTTTCACGTGTCGATCGACAGCCAAATAAACGGACCCCTGCTTCCTCTTCTTTGCCCTGCCGGCTCTTCTTTATTCACAGCACTGAAGGCCATCCCATCCCGCCTTTGACTTTCGGACAACACACCAAAGTTTTGCCTCTCTCACTTGTCCCATCCAGCCACCTCGCCCGTCTTGCTCACCCGCCGTCGTTGGCGTTCAAGGACACCATCGCTGTCGGCCTCACTCTGCCCCCCCTTGACCGATCCCTGACCAACCCTGCGGCCCTTGACCTGGCCTCTGCCGAGTCAATCCGCTCGCCTACCATGGCAAAGACCACCACCCTCTCTGGAACCAACGGCTGCCGCCCGCCCAACGGCCTCCCCAAGGACAGCGCCCCGCAGAAGCACCACCAGATCCCTTACATCCCGCTCTCGTACCGCAGCGGCGACGACGCGGCGAGCACCAATGCCTCGGCCCTCGCCCTCATCAGCGCCCTGAGGCCTGACTGGGGCTCCGAAGTCGACTTTCGCCGCTTCACCGACGGCATCACAAACACCCTGCTCCAGGCCCGTCCGCGCGCGTGCGAGCCGCTGGACGGCGAGTCCGACGACGACGCGCGCGACCGCGAGGCCATCCTGCTGCGCGCCTACGGCAACGGCACCGACCTCCTGATCGACCGCAACCGCGAGGCCCAGAACCACGAGCTGCTGGCCCGCCACCGCCTGGCCCCCGAGCTGCTGGCCCTGTTCGAGAATGGCATGCTCTACCGCTTCATCCGCGGCCGCGTCACCTCCCCGCAAGACCTCCGTCACCCCGACATCTATAGGGCCGTCGCCCGCCGCCTGGCCCAGTGGCATAGCACCGTGCCTTGCCTCGGCCACGCCGCCGCCCAATCGCTGGCCAAGCGCCCTCCCCCTGCTGCCGCCGCCAATGGTCATGCCCCGAGCGGTGGTGGCGCCCCTGCAAACGGCGACGCCGCCTACCGCGCCAAGATTGACAATGTTGCGCCCGGAAAGTTGTCGCCGAACGTGTGGACCGTCATACAGAAATGGATCCTCGCCCTGCCCACCGAGACGCCTGCGCAGCGCCAGCACCAGGCCACCCTCCAGAAGGAGCTGGACAGAATGGTAGCGGAGCTCAGCCAGCGCCCAGGGCTTGGCAAGGATGGCCTTGTTTTTGCGCACTGCGACCTCCTGAGCGGTAACGTCATCATCTTGCCCACCCCAGCCCCCGCCTCGGCTGCCGCGCCGGCACCTGGGGCCATCGCCGACGAGCCCAACGGGGCCTGCGGCCGCTCGGCGGCGCCGTCCGCGTCGGTGACCTTTATTGACTACGAGTACGCCACCCCGTCGCCGGCGGCCTTTGACCTGGCCAACCACTTTGCCGAGTGGGGCGGCTTCGACTGCGACTACAACGTGCTCCCGACCAGGAAGCAGCGGCGCGAGTTCATCGATGAGTACGTGCGCGCCTATTTCGGCGGCGCCGACAGCTGTGCCGACCAGAACGGCGACCGGCACCGCCACGAGGACTCGGCCGCCCGGCTGTTCGACGAGGTCGACCTCTTCCGCGGCGTCCCGGGCTTCTACTGGGGCATCTGGGCCCTCATCCAGGCCACTATATCCGACATCGACTTCGATTACGCCTCGTACGCCGAGACCCGCCTCAACGAGTACTGGGCCTGGCGCGCCGAGCAGGACGGCTCCCGCGCGGCCGCGAGCCGGGAAATGCCCCTGCGCGAGCATCGGTGGGCACAGGAGGAATAGCGGGGATGGTGTTTTGCTACCTCGAGTTCAAAGCAACGCGTGCTTCTATCCTTTTCTCACTACACTTTTTTCTTCCGCTCCCCCTCGCCTTTTTGCGCTCGGTTAGTTTTCCGTGTGTATTCTCCGAGGGAAGTGCGCGGAAAGGTGTTTTGCACCGCCTTTTCAAGTCGGATGTCTGTCAAGAGTGTGATGTCGCGTGGCCGTTCTATTTACCTCGAAATGATGGGTTTTTTGGTCTAATTTCTTATAGCATTAGATATTGGCACGCAGTTGTCAACAGACGTGACGCCATGTTTTTCTCTTTTATCATTGTTTCTTAACTTTTTCTTCTCTTCATAACCCCTACACACCTCCCTCTTCAACCTGTAGTACTTTCGGGGTATTTGCTTGCTCACTCGGAAGCGTGCGTTATCAGCGTGCCTGACACGCGACCGAGCCACAGGGAGTCGGCGAGCGGAGTTCACGGGCGGGGCTCTTGTCCTGGCTTCCTTTTGTCCCTTTTTTCTTCTTCTGGGTAGCGCGGATCCTTTTGGTTGCATTTCAACATGCGGCGTCAACATCATTCAACATGCAGAGGGAGTCATAATTGCATTCTCAAATCGAGTCGGAACAAAACGAAAGGGGTGGAAAGTAGGTACACTGCGGTTTGTCTACATTAGCAGGAACGCACCTACACCAAGTAAAGCATCATGCATTCTTACCCCGACACACTTTGGAGGTGCTCAAACGGGTTAGAATCCGGAGGCCAGAGAAGCTCCGGGTAGTCGAACTGACGGCCCTGTAGGGTAGCCTTTCCTTTACCGCAAGTTCTAGTCGCACATGGCCGGCAGGTGATAGATGGCTGGCCGAATGGAGAGGTCGGTAGGAGCAGAGTAAAATTGGCGCAGCCCCAATGCCTAGGAGTCGGGACAGGGACGCTCGTGTCAATTCGATTTCTTTCTTTCCTGGGCAACATTGCGGCCTAACCAAAAAAAAAAAAAAAGAAAGGCAAAGGCACCAAGATGAAGGGAAATGCTAAATATACAAGAAGGTGGCGCCGTGCAGTCGTCAACGAAATATGGGCATGATATCACAAGATAAAGGATCAGAACACCAAGGCTAGCACTCTCGACGGCGTCATGCAGAAACGCTGCACACAAAAATACCGACCGATGAAGGGAGGAAGAGGGCATTGTAGCACGGGGAAGACAGGACTGGAAAGATATGACACAAATATACCAACCTAGGTATATGAACAGGCAAATGGGACATCGAAGGCTGATTTGTGCATAAATATAACGGACGTAAGGCTCGGGGGGGAAAATAAATAAAATGGGGATAGATAGGTAAGATAGATAGAGATACGAAAGGAACAGATGGCCAAACGGATACTAAGTACTGAGCAACAAATGCGGAGTAGATCTTCCTGCATTAGTTGAACCCGCTGTCCGTGGCCGATAGCCGACCGCGGATCAACGGGGAGAAAAATCCGAGTGTGGGATAAATATGCCAGTGACGGTGCCGGACCAGGACTTAGTCGATATCCATCCTGTCGGGTGGTGCCGCCGGAGAAGAGCCGAGCTTGACTGCCGTCTTCTCGACGGACACGTCATCGCTGCTGACGGGGGCTAACGGGTCGTCAGTCTCGATTGTGCCGTTGACGCTCATTGTGCGGTCGTTGTTGGATACGCTCCCTCCGGCCAGCGGTGACTTGCCGGCGGCGGCGGAGCCGGGGACGCTGGCGTTGGAGTCCGAGTCTCTCCTCGCGTCCGGGCCCGAGGCGCTGGCGACCGTCGTGGCGCTTGAGGGCCCCCCGGTGCTCTTGGGGGTAGGCGGGACAATGACGTTGAGCACGCAGTCGTCCAGATGTTCGTAGAACTCCTGTGCTGTGAGGAACTGGCTCTGGCAGATGGAGCACCTCGCGCCCGACTTGCCCTGCACGCCAGTACATGCCGAACCGCCTCCGCCTTCGCCGGCTGACGCGGCCGCCGCAGCCCTGGCCGCCGTGCTGAGCACCATCTTGCGGCTGTTTGGCGGCGTCTGCTCGACGTTGTGGACCGCTGTGAGATGTCTCTTGAAAACGTCGGCCCGGTTGAAGGCCTTTTCGTAGGCCGTCCCGGCGCCGGGACAAAAGGGGCACACCATGGTACCCTTGTAGTGGGTCAGCGCGTGCCGGTTCTTATCGTACTTGCGCGCGAACCCCTTGGTGTGGTATTCGCACGACTCGATCGGGCACTTTTCCGGCCTCTCCTCCATGTGCGTAAGCATGTGCGCGGCCAAGTCCTTGAACACGCGCCCGCACTCAGGATGTGGACACCGGTTCCTGTTTGACGGCTGCATCGGCTCCTCGGACAGCTTTCCCGGGATCGTGTGGTGGTTGAATATGGAAACCGGGCTCAGCCCAGGGCTGTTTGTCTGAAACAACAGCGTGGCATTGCTTGGTGTCATGTCCAGCGAGCTGGTCATCAGCAGCGGAGGAGGCGGGGCATGTTGCAGGCCCGCCATGTGCAACGCTGGCGAAGGCACGGGCCGTGGGGGCGGCGGCGGCGGCGGCGGCGGCGGATGTAGCGTCGGCGGAGGGGCCGGAGCCAGAGCCAAGGGCACCGCGGGGGCCATGACATGGCCTGCACTCGGGGCTGGGGCGAGTTTTGGTACGTCCAGCACGGGTGAGCGGCGGCCGTGCGGCGGGCTGAAGTCGGTGATGATGGGCTTAAAGTCGGCGTCGTCCTCGCCATCAGACGAGTCCATGGGATCCTGAACGTCGACCGATTGGCGCACCTCACGCATCCAGTCCTTCAGGATTGTCATGGTAGGCCAGTCGCCACTCGCCTTGCCGCCGCGGTGGGGGTTGAAATGAGCCCTGCGAAGGTGGGCGGCGGCGTTGTAATAGGCGCCGTAGCGCTTCTGCGTCACGCACGCCTTGCATTTTGAAAGCGGCACGACGGGCTGCGGCGATGTGAGGGGGTTGCTGCCGTGCGGCTCTGTGCACACCCACCTCTTAACCATTGCGGCGTGCTTGGCGTCGGTGTGCCTGCGCAGCTCGTGCTCGCCCCTGAAGCCTTCGGGGTATTCGCTGCATTTGCTGCAAAACACTCTCCGTAATGGTGGCCGGTGGTCCGACGACCTGACCCGGGATGCCGGGATTGGGGACGTCAGGCCCCGGCCCACGACGCTGCCGCTGGCACGCGATAGTGTTGGGCTTCCGCCCCCTGTGGTGTGCCTCCTGCCTCCGAGGCTTCCGTCCGCGTTGTCTCGCGGGGAGGTCAGAAAGCTGCTCCCCGGCACGGTGCCCTTGGCCGAGTACGGCTCCCTGTGATCCCTGAAGTCTCCAGACTCCCTGTCTGAGAACAGGGAGGCGCTCGACGGCCAGGCCTCGCCAAAAGACCTCGCATGGCTAAGCTGCCTGGCCTGATCCGGGGCAGGACGCAGCATAGGCGGCAGCGCCATCAAGCCTGCACGACTGGGCGATCTCTGGCGGACAAAGCCGTGGTAGAAGGCACCTTCCTGTCCCCCGTCTCCTAGGAGCATCAGAAAGTCTTTAGTAGACTGGATGCCACGCTCGCCCCAGCTATCGCGGTGAATGATCATGTTGACCGTGGTGAAAAGCTCGCGGTCGTCTTCGGGCATGTCCATGGCTCCGACCGCCAGCTCGTCCAAGATGGACGGGGCCGATGTGGTGTATATGCCGGCAAGTGCCTTGTAAAGGGTGTGCATAGCGGCTGCCGCCGCCGCCGCCGCATCAGCGCTTGGGGTGGAGACGCTGTGTTGCAGGCCAGGTGTCTGCCTGGCAAACATGCTGGCCATGTCCACTAGAACCGTCCTCACTATACTGAAAATGCACATTGAGAAAAAGATGGCGAGCCAGCTCTTGCGATCCATCATACTTTTGCGCATAACGGCGTCCTCGAACGACTGAAGGAACTGTGTCAGGCAACCGTAGACGAGGCGGTAGCGGCCGTGAGAGTCCATGTCATCAAAGACTGGGGGTGGGTTTGGCGCCATGGTCTCGGTGTGTATTGAAGGTTCCGCTTGTTGCAGGTCGAATAGGAGGGTCTCGCGAAGCAATAGTTTTGCACGGTATAAGATGGGGAAAGTCGCAGCCTCGGCGTCCCTCGAGTCTGATATCAGGCCGCTCATCTTGAGCAGTTGCCAGTAGTTATACGCCGTCCCACCCATGTTCCAACTGCCGGCAAGAACGGCCAGGACGGGAGGCGGCCGGTCGACGGAATCCTGCATGAACGAGGCTCGGCTCGGGTTGGTTGGTGGTAAACTGGCGAGGTCTTCGGTCCACCAAAAGCCGTCGTCGAAATCAAGATTAGCCCTGACCATGCGCGCGACATCTGGTGCAACCGCATAGGTCCGCTCAAGGAACTCGTTCATATTCCGCTGCTGCGCCAACGGAGATGTCATGGGCGTATGAATCTGCCTGGGGGATAGCGATGGCGGAAGCATTATTTCGGCCAGGGCGTCGAGCGGGCCGCGGTGGCAGCCAAGGAATCTCCAGATGTCATCGTCGCAACCCCCCGTGCTCGACGGGTCGGAGCAGGCTGAGCAAGGTTCGTGTGCGTCGCAGGCCATCTTGAATGCCCTGCAACGGATGCAGGGCTCCATGCCGCGTCCTAACCTCAGTTCTTCTATCGATTCGAGGCGAGACTGGCCGACACGGCTTCTCTTGAGCGGGGGCAAGAGGGGATCAACCTCAGAGTCGACCGAGCCTCTGGACGGGCCGGGATGCTCGGATACGAACGAGTATGTCCTCAGGGATTCACGCTGATCTCGAGAGCTCTTCATATCATGGCTGAGCGGCGGCATGTGGACAGCACAGGCGCCGCTCGGGGGTGGCAGATACAGCGTGGGCGAATGCTTGGCGTATCCAGGGTATGGCGGGCGGTAGTTGAGTGCATCCGAAAACACGAGGGGATTCTCGCTGACCGAAAGGCCCGAGTCCCGCTTGAGTGGTGGGTTGTGCTCCCTGGCGTGCTGGTCGCGATCCTCCCGGTGAGTGAAGCCATAGATGTAGTGCAGGCATCGGTCGTCGCTGCACTTGAACGAGTGCTTGAGGGCGCCTGCCGCCAGACCAAGACCACCGTGCGCCAGAGGCACTGGCATGCTGTCTCGGAGCCTCCAGGCACGGGCGACGGGGTCATACTGCGAGAGGTTTCTGTCGAGCCATGCCGGGTAGCCCTGTGGTGCCTCTGCCTCTCGGCACAGCTTCAAGGCTTGGACGAAACTAGGGTCATGAATGTCCACGCCTGCGATGGGCACGCAGCCTTCGGATCAGACGCCGTGCTAGAGTGGAGGGTTGGGGAAGGGGAAAGGGGTTGCGTCGATGCCTTCTCCTTCGGTTCGCAGAGCCAAGACTGACTTACCTTGTTCCATGCAAGCGGTCTCTATACACTCGCACTGATACTGGAGGAATCGTGCCTCCTCGATTTCCGACAGGGTTGGGATTTTCCCCAACAGACCTAACGGGCCAGGATTAGACTAACAGCTGGAAACAGCGCGGGTGGATGCGCGCAACGGAAACTCACGGTTGTCTTCGGCGTAGACGTGCAGCACCCGGAGTTTGTGGCGGAGCATGTCCAGCTCGAGGCGAACGTTTGGACCATACTTGCGGGGAAGCAGGGCGGCGAGCTTGGCCTGGATCTCTAGTTGCTGATCGAGCAGAGCACGTATTGCCGGATCCAGGGCCGCATCGTATGCGACCGAGCCGTCGCGGTCCATACGCGGGCCAAGGCCCTCGGTAGTTGCCATGGCCGATCGGGGGTGAGGACGATGGGCAGCCGGGGCAGGAGGCGGGGTTCCTCCGTCGGGAACTTGGACTTGTCCGAGAGAACCGACGGCCCCAATCTCGTCGAGACCGGCCAGTCCGGCCAGTCCCTAGACAGTCCCCGAGCAGGAGAAGCAGACAAGGGACGAAGATGGCAGATAGAAGGTTGGATAGATAGTTAAGTGGCGGTGGTGGTGCAGGCCAGTACCAACGGGTCGTGGCGCTGTCAAGTCAGGTCAGCTTGCACGGGCGCCCAACTGGGCTCAACTTCCCCCTTCCGAAATTCCAGTCTCTTTCACGGCGCTCCCGACAATACAGGCGGCCCTTCGCCGCGGAGCAGCGGCGCAAGCTGAACGGGCGGTGCCGGGCCGGGCGTCCGAATCCTAGACCCCGAAGGTACTCCCGTCACCTCCCTTCCCCCTCACCTTCCTACTCGGTCCGGCCGGCCAGATCAGACGGGGGGCGCGGCGGCAGCAACGGTTATGCGGCGAGGCGAGGCGGATGGGCGCAAGAGCGCTGGGGCGTTTAGACGGACGAGTCCAAACTGCGCAGCAGGAAATGTGGGCGCACACGCTCTCGTGGGCGCGCGCGCCGCAACTCACACCACGCCGGCCACCAGCTCCGGAAGTTGCTTCGGCGCATCAAAGATTCGTGGGGTAGAGGAGGCGCAACAACATGGCAGTGGGCGGTGGCTTGGAGAGGCGAGCAAGGCTAGCGTGCTGGGGAGCAAGCCCGAGGTAGGACCATGCGAGACGGGTTGTGGTGTGCGAGGAACAAGGCAGGTGTGTGTGTGTGTGCGTTTGTGTGTGTGATGTGTGCGTGCGTGCGTGCGTGCGTGTGCACTTGGTTCAGTGCCTTGGGTCCCCGGCGCACACAGCTACACAGTAGGTGCTCGGTATACCTATCACCTCTGCCTCTCCCACGCTGGCAGGCAGTCTGGCGTGTCGAGGGCGGCACGGGGTGTGTGGTGTGGTGCGGTGCGGTGCGTGGTGCATGTGTGGACGCTGGTGGGCAGAAAACCGAGGCGCAGGGAGATAAGCAATTGGTGCCGAGATCTGTCACCAGGCCATCAACGAAAGATGCGGCCGAGCAAATCAACGGCGCCGGGCGCATCAACTCCCACCCCAGCAGGCCAAGGCGCAAGCCTAGCACGGTTCGGTAGGTGGCTCTGTGGCGGGCTTTGGAGACGAGGATGGGTGGTCCCCGGCCCGTTCGACGCGAGATGGATGGGGCCGATTTTTTTCCCCTTCTCGCCGCCTCCTCCTTCCCTCTTGGAGCATGTGGAGAACGACAGCCTCCAGGCACAAAAGTGGGTTCACTCTCTTTTGATTGTCGTTTTCTTTTTCTCTATTTTTTTTTCCATCGCTTCCTCCGGGCGTTCCGTCTTCTCGTCAATGCAGCAGCTCACCCTCCCCAAACACCCAGCAGACGTAGCCTCCCTGCTGAGCCTTCTCCTTTGAATAATTGGGGGGGCACGATCAGGTCTCGGTTGAGATTGGGGTAGTGGAGCGGGCATGCATTGGGACTTGCAAGGGGTTGGCGGGCCTGCGCTACACCGTCCGGGCATACCTCGGTACCTCGCAAGCTAGTACCTACCATCAAGGTGGTCGGCAGCTGGGTGGCAGGCATGGACGGATATTACCCAAGCGCCAACCAGCGCCCATCCTCGTTGTGCTGTGTGTGCCGAACATCAAAAGTCGCAAGTCGCCAGACAGAGAGAGTGGGGGGAGCCGTGCAGCCGTCTTAGATCGCCCGGCAACCCTGGCCAGGCCATGACGGTGGCTCCTGGGGTTGGGAAACGGGGCTGAGAAGCACGCAGACCCCCATTGCGCGCCCTCTCGCGTTCCGTGTCTTCCATTCGCCATCCCGTCTTTCGTGGGTGGAAGTGCGTTTGGCGTGCAGTGAGTGGCGTATTGTGGACGACGAGCTACTACACAGTAAGCGTGCTGTTGGTGAGGAGCCACTTCTACTGTGTATGCGGTCTAAGTCTAGAGCTATATTCTGTCTGTGGCTGATTTCCTCGCGGGCCATCGGGCATCTGCACCGTATCATCGGACCCAGCTTCGTTGGGTGCATTGGTGCACTGGTATCCCATGAATTCGGTCCTGGCAGAGCGTGGGCGGCGACTTCCCTCTCTCGCTGGAGCCCATCCCAGCCGCCCTGAGTCGTCGTCGACAGCCAGATACAGTACCTGTACATACCCTCATGGTGAGCTCACGGTACATGGTGCGCATGTACCGGCCGCCGCAATTGGTAATCGACCAGAACTCGGCTCTTTTATGGAGACCTGGCGGCTGCTGACCCCCAGAAACTGCGTCCCGAACCACCGCCCAGCCAAGCGGGTGAGACCTCAGCAACAGACTCCCAGCTCCTCCGCCACCCCAACCTCGCACCAAACAAGAGACTGGCCACCTCCCCCATGCCACACACCACCACATCGCACTCCCACCCCTCCCAGCTCGCTTCGAAGCTGCACATACGAAGCAGCGCAATTGCCCTGCCCGCCTTTCCCGGACTTCCACCCACCCCATCTGTCCTACCATCCTATCCCATTTTCTTCATCTCATCCCTCCACCGTGACGGGACATGCCAGCAAGGGCCGAAGCTCGGAAATGGCGTTAGCTGATTGGCCTGGCCAGCACTGGTGGGACAGACAGCTCCCCTCCCAGCGCTGACGATAACCAGCTCATCCCGTGCTGAACCACGAACGACTGAAGCGGCCGGTCCCCGCTCTTCTGCAAGGCGACCTTCTTGCCAGACAGGGAGCAAGGCCCCGGTCGCGGACCCAGGCGTCGTTCCAAGGCACATCCAAATCTGCCCATTCTTTCTGTCCGCGCAAGGACGCCGGCGCCCGCCATCGCATGAGTGCCATCCATCCATCGCATGAGAGTGTCGCTGCGGCGAGGCCGCGCTAGCGCCATTTCCCTGCGTGCTCCTCCCCCAAGCCGCAGGCGCAGCGGCGGTCCCGTTTTTCTTCTTCTTCGGCACTGGCAACGGAAGCTGGATGGGCCCTTTGTCACTTGGTCATTTATCACAAAGCGGGGAGGCAAGTCCCAGCTGAAGGGATGGTTCCGCCCAACAAACCCGGACAGCATCTGGCCCCCGTCCTGGAAAAAGTATGACCAATCCCGCCATCGAAGCTCCGGGACTCTATGCCAGCTGTTGCCGCGCACTCCTTTCGTCGCACAAACTCTTGCGAATGTCGCAGATATGGTGCCCAGTCAGCCTTTTCCTTGGGTGCTATTCCACCGGTCCGGAGAGGTGGGTAGACAGGGAGATTGTGTGTGATTTTGGTATTCCCGGCTCCAGCAAGCGGATCCTCGATCAACACATCCTTGACTCTGTCGGCGGAGGCAATCATCAGGCCTGTCGGGGGGGGCTAGACTGGAAAAGGGCGGCGTTAATTACAAGGGCTCCCTCCCAAATGGCGGCGTCGGTTGATGACGCCCAACCAGTGTCGGTCGTCTTGCCTGGCACCACCCCACCTTGCCTGGTACCCTCCCTCGTCTTTGCTCCTCAATATTGTTCTGGGCAATATAACCGCGCGCTATGCCGACTCGATTCGGAACATGGCTGGCGCCTGCTGAGGTATCGACAACATGAGGCAGAACGGACTGGCTGGAGGACTGGCTGGCATCGCAAGTAGGAAGGCGGTAAATGCGCATGCCTGGCCACGCCGGTCGGGTGGGCGGACGAGCGGTAGTCCGTATATTGTACGCTTGTGCGACAGCACAGATGAAGCCCATCGCCAGAGCTATAGCACTTCTTCATGCATCATGACGAATCGAATGTGGCGGACATGCTTCGGATCAAGATGTGTCCACCCCCAAAGGGAGCCGGGGTAGGTCAGCATGTGTGCAGAGCGACTCAGGCGTCTGCATGGGAGTGGGCGTGTGTATGGATTCTACACAGTAGAGATGGACGGATGGAACTTGATGGAGGGAATTCTCATGCTCCCAAGCAGCTGGACGCAGTCGCGCAGACGAAGGCTCCCTACGGGGCTTGATTTGATGGGGGATTATATATGGAGACAAGCAGGCATGTCGCAGCACATCGAGGCAGGGTCCTCTCCAACAGAGCGCGGAGGCGCACGCCCAACCAGATTATCTACTCGTTCGAGAACGCCAATCTTCCCGGGCGGGTGGAAGCGAGGTTCGCAATCGGCCAGAATGAGAAAAGAAGGCGAAGGAGAAGAGAAACAAGATTTGGAGATGAAGGTGATGAGAGCAAAATCATGCTGGCCAGAAACAATTTCGTTCAAAAAAAGAAAAGAAAAGAAAAGAAAAAGTCCGGAGGGTAAGACAAAATTCAAGCAGAAAGAAGAAAAAAAGAACAAAAAAAGAAAGACGGCGGGAAAAAACGTTGTGGAAGGGGCGTGACTCGGCGCGACGCCACGAGGCCACAAGGGCAACGGCTGGGCACCTTGTGGAGCCCTGCGAAATGGGCACGCAGCCGGCGGGGGACCCACCCCTCCCTTCCGCTTCCAGCGTGTGCGTTTAGCGATGGTGAGCGCTCATTGGTGATAAAGGGCGGCGCTGACTGGCAATGAGATGCGCAGAAATGGAGGCATAAGTGAGACCCCCGTCGGCGCGCATGGATGGGGGTCTCGTCGCTGGGTCATAGTTTGGGCGTGCCTTGCCTTGCCTTGCAGCTGGAAACACAAAATAAAGAAGAAGAAGAAAAAAAAACCCCCAAAAAACAGGGCCAGTCTCGTCCGCTTCTTCTGTATGTTTGTTCGTGTGCGCGTGCCCGCGTGCTAGCTCTGCATGCGTCCCTGCTGTGCTAGCGCGTGCGTGCTGGAGAAAAAAACCCCAGCGTCCCCCCCTCTCAGATCGGGACCCAAGGGAGGCCCACTGCCGACCGCCCTATCAGGGACCCCTGTCGCCTTGTTTGCCGTCGTCCGTTGGCGTGCAACCACGGATGGACCCTTGGCAGCACCCAGCCCGGCCGGATCAGCCCAGCCACAAGAAACGAAAAGGAAGAGGAAAAGAAAAAGAAAAAGAAGAAAAAAAGGAGAGAAAAGCAGAGTCGCGCATGAGTGTGGGCCCCCTCTTTTTTTTTTTCCCCTTGGCCCTCACTCTCGGTCGCTCCCCCCCCCCGCCACACGCGGCCAGGCGGCGCACACATCGAATGCGTCCGTCTTACACACATTGATTCTCTCACACACTTGGTCTCTCTCACTCTCCATATCGGTGGCATTTCAACGGGCCTCGCAGGGCAGCTGACCGGGCGGCTGACCCGCCACTCCCTCCTCCGGCCCCACCTGTTGGTCGGCCTGCAGCTTTCAGCCTGCAGCAGCAAGCACGTCCCACCAGCTGTGACTCGCTTTCTCTTGATATGAAATGCAACGTGCTATGTGGGTGAGTGAGGCCAACCCACCCCATTGACACAGGCCAATGTGAAGGTAAACCCCAAAGCGGTTTTTGCCAGAATCGGGCCGCCCCCCTAGGCCCCAGCTGAAATGTGCACCGTAAACTCGCATCTCACCATCTTTCAGGCCGCATTCTGCCCATGTCCCGAATATTTCCAAGGCACATGAGGTATTATTGTTGGTATGCATGCATAAGGTAGGTTGACATCAATCCAAAGTTTAAACAAATACCCCTTGCGTGTCCCTCCCTCCCACAAGAGTCGCATCCGTCAACGAGCACAGGGGAAATCCTGCCTGGGCTGAAGGATATGTGTGACAGGCGACATATGCCGAAAAAACCATCTTAAATGTCTTATGTGAGAGAGCTTCGATGGGTGGAAATGAACTCTGGATTATGGACAAAAGAGAATTCGGATTAATCCAAACGACTGTCTGAGTGGGTGTCTGTTCGCAGTGCAAAGACGTTGCCACATAGCCACATCATATTCCTAATTCATGTCTCATACTCGTAAACAAGAAGACATGTTGATTATGATGGGGTATCTTCGGTAATGAAACATAAGGAAAGATATTGAGTGAGCGAATGGGAGAGATAACAAAGGAAAGGAAGGGGGAGAAACGCGGGAAAAGACAGGCGCTAGGCCGACGCTGCATCGATGGCAGACAGGTCATAATTTACACGGTAAGATAGATAGGGAGGGTTTTTGGAAAAGTTGTTCTCTCCAAGTATCCTTCCTCCAGGCCAACAAGAAATAGAAAAGAGAGAGAAAAAAACAAAAAAGAACAACCTCTCAAGACAAAAATCCCGCTAAGTCGCCGGGGAGCCCAGGCACATGTTGATGAAGCCCAGGTCCGGCCTCGGCTTGCGGGCGTAGCCCCGGAGGACGCGCCAGCACGAGCCGACCTGGCGGCCCTCCTCGACGATTGCGTGGACGCCGTCGAGGCTCTTGCCGGCCTGGCGCATGGCCTCGCCGGCGGTGACGGTGTCGGACAGGCGGAGCTCGCCCGAGACGGCCTCCATCTCGGCCCGGAGGAGCCAGCGCTCCCAGGACCAGCCGGCCGCGAAGCCCGTGACGGCGGCGACGTTGTCGGCCGACCCCGTCACCGTGGCCTCGAGCTCGACCGTGGGGATGAGGCAGCCGGCCGAGTCGCGCGGGGCGGGCGGCCTGCCCGCCGCCGCCGCCGACGCGGGCCGGGGCCCCATGGGGCAGGCAG